GTCTTTTGGTCAATGTATTGTAGGGACATGATACGCGCGCGGGCGCCCAGTTCCGGCGTTCTCGGACGCGCCGCAGTCGCCACTTCGAACCAACGGAAACGGTAAAACATCGTGCAACCTGAACCAGCCGAATCGGTTCGTCAGTCTTTCTGACTAATTTCCGTCGCCCAGCCGTACTTCAGCACTTCATCATGCAAGCAATTGATTTCAGGCAAAAAATTCCACTTCATTTCACTTGAAGGTCCATTCACGACCACGCGCGATATAATCAAACCACAAATCCTTCATCCCGCCTTGCGAGACTACATTTACCCCTTTAAACCTCTCACACTCCGCTGGTACTTGCAGCGATGGCTCCCAACCAACAAGATACCAATAAGTGGCGTCTTGCTTTCTCATTCTTTGTCTATGCACAAGCAGGCATGAGCGACGGGTCGCTGGGTGGTTCGTCCAATTAGTCTGCACCTGAATCACTTTCGTCAACTTCAAGCCCACAGCTCAACTGGATTCTATTCAATCCCATTATGGCCTGTCCTTTTCCGTGGTATCATTGATATTCCTCGCCAATGCCGCAGGTAGTCCCGAAAGTCTCCTCTATCTATAATGTACCAACAATCCACAGGGTGGTTAGTCGCAAGCTTTCTCAACATCTACCTCCTGTACTACCTTGACCTTTGGAAAACGCTTGTCGTAAGTCCATGATATATTTGTCGTGCCACAGTTGTTAATGCCCGTAGATTGCGTCTATTGTCAACGTTGTCGGTTCCGCAATCGTCATCTCATCTCCCCCATTTCCTATTTTTGTCATTGCCCTGTTCCTCATCGGAATAGGTGTCTGCATCTATGATGCTAGTTTTGCGGCTTTTACTGCCCATTTTGACGAAGGCCCAGCGATGTCTCTGCTTTTTGCAGCTTTCGGAGTAAGTATCATTTCCTTGCTGACCTCCGCTTGTTTTTTTTGACTTACTCTGTGGGACAGCTTGGTGCACTAATTGCACCACTGGTCGTGGTCGCCTTGCTTGACAACAATGTCCCTTGGAATATATACTACTATGTGCCACTGGCAATATCTATCTTGAACATCCCTTTCTTATGGATTATATCCAGAGATTATCGAGCCCCAGAGGAAGAGAACGCCACAACCGGCATCGTGGCGAGGTTTACTCTCGTCGTTTACAACCACACTGTGCTAACAGGTGGATTATTAACCGCCCTGGTACGTTTTAGGTCCATAATTCATTCCATTCACTAACTCTCCACCTAGTCCATGGCCTCTGGAGAAATCCTCACCAGCTGGATGGTGTCCTTTATGACCGACGTTCGCCACGGGAACGCTTCAAAAATGCGTTATGTTCTCAGTGGATACTGGGTAGGCTTGGTTTTTGGACGACTGATCCTCGCGCATGCAACTTCTCGCATTGGGTCACAGACGGCGTTAGTCATATACGGTATCCTCGCCATCAGTCTTCTTACTGTACTACAATTCGTAGACAACATATCTGGAAATGCCATCGCCGCCGCATTTACTGGTTTTTTCCAGGCGTAAGTTTATGCTAGTTGTGTATCTGAAAAAAGTTTCTGCATCCACTCTAAATTGTTTAATACAGGCCATCTACCCCAGTGATCATCTCTCTCTCGTCAAAATCGGTACCTTCTTCACTAGTTGGGTCAGCCGTATCCGTTTTGACTGCGTTTGGTCTTATCGGATCGGCGTTTGGTCCTCTGTGTGTTGGGTTTGTCAATCAGGCGGATGGGCTGAAGTACCTACCTGCTATTACAATGGGTGCTATTGGGGTGACTTTGGGAGTATGGTGTCTGGCACCGAGTGCTCCCTGGATGCCAAAGAGAGTTTTACCTGACTTGGGTGAAACGCTGGATATGAGAGGACTGACTTCAGAAGTTTATCCATCTCCCACCTGATTTCCCGACCAATATCTCTGGAGTATATGATCTTTAGCTTTAAATTCAATAGAATCACAAAACCTCTACGAACATGAGACCGATATGATGCTTTATGATTTCATCTCATTAAAACAGAAGATTGGAGCGCACAGATTCGAATGGCCCGTGCCTCGGCCTAGAACTGACTGGAAAGAGCTAGCATAAATCGGTTCTCGTACTCTGTGCAGCTCTAACCACACCTAGGTACAGTTAAATCGTTTCTATCTCATGTCACCCGAAATTGAAGGAACGACTTCAAGTTATGTACTACAGGTATGTATGAGGCGAGTCCTCAGTATAAATGCTAGGCTTTTCCTTCCTTCCGGTATACTTATAAGTAAATCATTGACAGAGCAAAAGATCACAAGGTATATAGAAGCAGTGGCAGATGTCGTCCTCAGGAAGGCCAACAGGAAGGTGACCCCAGTTCTGAAAGGCACCTGAGCGCTAAGGGTTCAAGTTCGGATGCGGATAATCATGCTATACAATGGCAGGAAGGGAGCAGGGTTGGAAATCACTTTTTCCGCCGTGTTACATGGCTTGAAGTTGACACAGAAAGTGAATACTTTGGGGTTTTTCATTTCTACAGCTGATTGTCATCCTTCGGGAAAGTCAAGCTGTGTGGGAGAGGCAACTTGAATACTTACTCGGGCATGATTCTCCTTTCAGCAGGTTGAAGGGGAAGGGGTGATCCCTATCGAAACACAAATATCGCGATGGATAGTGCGGTCAGTCGAGTTACCGCCACTTGTCACTGCTGAAAGTTTACAAATCACAACTAAAGTTATTCGGCGCACATTCCGTCTTCCTTCCGTCCTTCCTTCCATTATGAAAAATTATTACGAGGTTCTGTATCAATCTGACAGGAAATCCAAACTACTCTCTTAAGCAAGCTCATATCCAGTCTTTCGCCATATCCCACCCTTGGACCTAACAATGTTTGGATCTCATCTGGCCACTCGATTGGCACGACCTTCCAGTCTGCGATACTCTTGGTGCCTCTCTCATACATCCTCTCACACAAGGAAGAGTTCCAGCGAGAATCGACTGGTAAAGCCTTCTCCAGACCATGAATCTAGTGGCGGAGTATTGGATGTTACACGTCGTGAACCTTACTGGCACATAATTCCAACCTGGAAGGATGTCTCAGAGGCAGACTTCCTAGATTATGGCTGGCAGGAAAGTTTCCACACTATTTTAATAACATCCTTAGCTTATAAGCCCTATCTTTAGGTTGCACATACTGTCCAAGGTAAAGACAAACTGGCCGCATTTCTCTACAATGTTCTTCCTGAAGAGATCCCGTATGATGGGGACGCGCCTGAGCCATTACGCCAGATACAGACCCGCGATATGTTTGTCCAAGATGTCTTGGGTGGGATCTCCCTCGCCCCAATGTCCATCCGTATCACCCCGCATATCATGAGTGTGATTGACTGGACAAAACCGCTCTCGGACCCCATTCGACGCCAGTTCATTCCACTAAGGTCATCTTTCATCAAGGACCACCCGAAACTTCAGTTAGATTCACTGAACGAGACTGGAGATTCCCCGACGCCGGGTCTGGTTCATCGGTATCACGACAAGGCTCTCTTTCTAGGTATTTTTTTTTCTGTTCCTATGGACCCGTTTGGATCTAATTTTATCACGTCTTCAGCCGTATCTGTCTGCCCGGTCTACTGCCGGTTCTGCACACGCTCTTACTCTGTGGGGGGAGCCACCGAAGAAGTGTCGACGAAAAAATCCTTCTCGCCCACACGTCGTCGCTGGGAGCGCATGTTTGAATATATTGAGCAGACACCACAGCTATCCGACATTGTTGTCTCTGGTGGAGATGGTTATTATATCGCCCCGGAACATCTCACCAGTATCACAGAACGTCTGCTTTCCATTCCACACATCCGTCGCATTCGTATTGCCAGTAAAGGCTTGGCAGTGTGCCCTTCGCGTATAATCACCCCAGGAGACGGATGGACACAGGCACTTATCAACGCCTCAGCAGCTGCACGACGGATGGGTAAGTCGGTAGCATTGCATACTCATTTCAATCATCCAAGGGAAGTAACATGGATCACTCGATTGGCGGCCCAGAAGCTCTATGAAGAGGGAGTGATGGTGCGGAATCAGACTGTTATGCTGCGCGGTGTGAATGACAATGTGGATACAATGAAGGAGTTGATGAGATTACTGGCCGACAACAACCTTATGCCAGTAAGTATCATATTCTTCTTCTTTATTATCGCTACTTACTTCCGTTGTGTAGTACTATGTCTACCAGGGTGACATGGTCTCTGGCGTTGAGGACCTGAGGACACCGCTGTCTACAATCCTTGAGGTTGAACGGCATATCCGTGGATCGATTGCTGGATTTGCTACTCCAAATTTTGTTGTCGATCTTCCCGGAGGCGGCGGTAAACGTCTCGCCACATCTTACAATACTTATGATCGCTCGACTGGGGTGTCAACGTATATCCTTCCTGGTAAGAACGCAGGCGAAGATAGAGTTTACGAGTATCACGATCCGTTATAGAAATGATCTGTAACTGTAATTACATAGGTTAGTGTTTATGTTTTCCATACCTTTGAGTAAAGACAAGCCAAAGCGATACATATCAAGGCCCCTAAAGGCAGCGTTTGATGGTCACATTCATATTCATACTATCTGTCAGCACCTTCGTACCTATAGATACACGGCCGAAGCGACAATATAATCGCTTGCGGTTCCATAACAGCCGGTCCCTGAACCTGCGCATAGGGATCGAGTTGTTGCTGGGAAAATGATTAGCTAGAGCGCCTGCGGGCCATCGACAGTACGGCCAGCGTCGAGCGAAGACCTGGGAACTTCGAGAAATGCCTGGCACGTCGGCCTGCAGCTGATTATCCAACTTTTGCTCCTGCTCCTTGTATTTCCTTGTTCTACTCCTTCTAGGCACTAATCGTCTGGGCCCTGAGTGTTCCTTGTACCTTCCCTGAGCCTGTTTCCATGTACCAGTCTCGAGAGTCGACTTTTACCTCGCAGTCCTGGATAATATGTAGCTATATATTGCTATTTAAATAATGCCTTCTTAGCTCAGTGGTAGAGCGTTGCACTTGTATCCATCCGACCCTTGAACGAGTTACTATGCAAAGGTCAGTCGTTCAATCCGGCTAGGAGGCACTTCCTGGGGACTGTCTATCCCTCAAATTTTTTCTTTCTTTCTTTCTTCGGGCTCTCTTTATTCAATGACAGGCCCTTCTCTAGCTCTAATCCTTTATACCTGGCTATCCAGAATCGGAATCTCGGAAGGAAACATCTTCGGTATCGATATTTATGTGGCAGCAATCCGTGCCCTACCAAGAATACATCGCCCTCGAATTCCGAAAGAGGCCGTTATCTCCCACTTAAACTAGCCGTCACCCAGCATCGTCAATTTCGCCATCTCAGTGATTTTCTACGATACTAGTCATTCATTCAACTTCAAATTTCCAAGATAAACCCGCCTTGGGCCTGCACAAGGGCAAGACATACCTTTTATAAGGGTCAATACTCGTTGGCAGATGACAGGATCTCTGTTTCCTTTTCTTGCACCAGTCAAGCTGTGATACGAAAGAACAGACGTGCAAAGAGGTCTATTAAAGTAACGCGCGCAACCATTATGAATGGAACTTCGTTGGAATAAGTTTCAACAAAACTTGAAGAACCGCTCTCGGTGAATAGGTACAAATCCGCGAGCGAAGGAAACCACTGAGCAGGACAACATCAGTTCACTTCATAGTTCCAGCATCTATCTTGTTCATCTCGAAGTACCATCTAGAATCCAGGAAATTGGCTGAAATCATGATGCTGTAATTTCAAGAGTCGAGGACGGACATATAGCATTAACATAAACAGAACATGGTAAGGAGTAATCTATGAGAAGAGCTTGTTGACAGAAGTATTGCCTTCTTGGTTCTTCTTCAGGACCTAGATAGAACGAATTTAGTAAGGATAGGCAAAAAGAAAATAATATGAACGAACCTTTGCGACAGCAAACTCAAAGTCCTCCTGGGTAACATGTTGCCGACGTTCTCGGAGAGCGTACATTCCTAGGAAACAGGTAGTTTGTGTGAGCTACGATCGCATGTGACGGATGACGGGACAAAAGACTTACCGGCCTCGGTACAGATACCTCTAACCTCTGCACCAGAACATTGACCCATCTTTTCCGCAAGCGCACGCAAGTTTATTCCTCGTTGAAGCGACATCTAAGCCTTCGTCAGAAACGCGTTGTTGCTAACATGCACAGAGAACGGGTTTACCTTCCTAGAGTGAATTCGCAAGATGGATACTCGGGCTTCGGGACCAGGCGGGGGGAATTCGATCTTTCGGTCGATACGTCCTGGTCGGAGAAGAGCAGAATCGAGGATATCTGAGATATAGGCCCGAACGTCAGCAGAATAAAGGGTATGATATTATGGTTCGACTGACCGATTCGGTTCGTGGCCATGATAACTTTGATGTTCTTCGTGCTCTCGAACCCATCCAGCTGGTTCAACAGCTCCAACATGGTCCTCTGCACCTCCGAGTCTCCTCCACCACTACCGCTTTCCCCACGCGAACTACCGATAGAATCAATCTCGTCCATGAAAATGATTGAAGGAGCGTGTTCTCGTGCCATGACGAACAGCTCTCGAACCATCCTCGAGCCTTCTCCGATGTACTTTTGCACTAGCTCGGAACCGGATACACGGATGAATTTGCAGTCGGTGTGATGGGCGACAGCTCTTGCGAGGAGAGTTTTACCCGTTCCGGGAGGACCGTATAAAAGCACGCCCTTTGGCTGCGCGATACCCAGACTTTCAAAGAGCTCCGGGTGCTTGACTGGGAGTTCGATAACCTCTTTGATTTCTTTGATTTGCTTATCCAGACCGCCGACCATTTCGTATGTTGAATCGGGAACCTTTTCGACCATCATAAGAGAGACCAGAGGGTCAATCTTGTTGGGGAGGATTTTATGGATGGTATAAGAGTCGGAACGGAGGGCGATACGGAGATTTGGTGTCAAGGTGTTGATGTCAATTTCAGAGTCGAGGTCGACAACTGGAAGAAAGATTTATACCGACAGTTAAAGAGTGGGCTGTATGATACGCACTGTATTTCCCTTCGGGCTGTACTTTGACCAACACCTTGTTCTTGCCCATCACTTTGACGACTTCGCCAACGTAGGAGCCTGGTTCATGTAATAGCTGGAGCTCCTCGCGAAGCAGACGTACTGTAATAGAGTTGGAAAGAAGACAAGGCATATGTGGGTGTATAGACAAACCTCTTGCGTTGAGAGCATTTCTTTGTGCTTCTAGACGTCGTAGATTTTGGGTTTTCTGGTTGATAGTAAGCTCTGCTGCTTCAATCTTGGCCTGGTAGTAAGCCTTGATTCCGCCTGGAACTGAAGGAAGTTTGGAATCTAGATTTATGGATAAGCGGGGACGATGCGCAGAAGTGAGAAGAATTCCTACCGGATGAGAATCCTCGTAGTGGTGCGGGCATGGTGAAAGTCGGAGGTGGGTGTGTGGGCTGACGCGTCTCGCGCTTCAGTCACGCAAATGTAATATGTTACGCTGTCACAAATTTCAATAAATAATCTCTGCTCAAACACAACAGATGACACAAGCGCAGGCAAAGCCTTGGCTTCTTTTGCTATCAATAAGCAGTCCACAGTAATAAAGATAAAACAAAAAAGAGCAAGTGGAAGCATAGATCAAAAGAGGTCGAATTACCTCACTCCCTGGCTGGGAGTCGAACCCAGCTTTCGCGCGATCAGTCGATCATGTCTGACTCAGAAAACATGACAGGCGCGTGTACTAGCCGATATACTACCAGGGACATGTTTAAATTTGGGATTACAGCAGTGAGGTGCTACGGTGTATCCCACTCCCACCGGACATTTAATTCATCCTCCGACTCAAACAGCCCGGTCGTAAGCAAGGCTTGTTTCGCCGGTGGTATAAAGGCCATAACAACCCTGAGCAATAGTTCGTTTTTGCACGTTGACAAAGCCCGCCTGCGCCAGAATGGTCTCATGTATATCCAGTGCAAGTCCTTTGCTGGCGTATAATGCAATAAACGCATCGATGAATAGCTTCGTATTTGGGCCACTGTATGCTGTAGTCTCAGGACCAGTCTCCAAAAGTTGAACCCACCCTCCCGGCTTCAGAACACGATACAACTCGCTCAGTGCCGTTCCCCATTGCTCAGATGTGAGTGCACCGGCGAGTAGCCGTTGATTTGCCACTTTGAATCTATCGCTCCATGAGTCTGGGAGGTTCGTAACTGTATGTATGGCGAAAGCGATATTATGTGGATATTCGGTGGGGAAGAGGTGTCGATTGATATCAATACCAGTAAGAGAAACCTTCGGGTGAGCATCACGGGCAACATCGAGTAGCCAGATACCTTCCAGCACATCAGACATATTTGGAACATTCAGGATGGCGAATACGAACCAGTTCCAGTTCCTGTCTCGAGCAGCTCGTCTCCGGGATTAAGCGTTGTAGGGACGCAGATGAGCTTTCCGTCGAATACAACTTTGGTCATATATCGATTCTGCCAGTCGAGCCTATTAGACAAGGGGAATATATTCCTTTTGAAGATGGATAGATAGCCCATACCTTTTCCGCTCATCCTCAGTAGAAGGCAAGAAATACTGGGACACAAAAGAATGCTTTTGGGAGTTTCCAGCCATTCCTGTAGATTTGAGAGGAGAGCTGTGGTGGTCGCCCAAATTTATGCTGAATATTTGGTGTGATATCATATCGGTTTCGGTTCTTTTCCTCACGAATGCCCATTCGTGCGATACCAGTCAATGCTCGGAAGCTTCAAGATATCTCGTGCTAACAACACTGCATCCCAAGCACCACAGCTCCACTCGCGTATCCAAAAAATAAGGAAATTTCTTCCACATGGCCTGCAGGTGTAATGACTATCGAGTAAAGGACGAGAAGGACGATAAGGAATTTTTGTACCCAAGAAGAACCATAGTAACCCTAACCCAGATCTTTCTAGTTTAAGCTCCGACAGGACGCTTTGACCGCCCCATATCTAGCATTTACGTGGGTTTGGTGCTACTTCAGTTTTTGGAGCCAACAGCCTGACGCATTTATCAGAAGGCGTTGATTACCAGTAGAGACGTTCAGGTGAACCTCGCGGGTGCCATTGCGAGTAGCCAGACTCAATTCGCGTCCCCACCTTGGATCTAACGTCATCCAGACGTTCCGTTGGATTGGCTATTCAGGTGTAGCGTTTGGTGACCTACACGGGGCCAAGTATTGGCCAAACCACTCATCAGCAGAAATTGCACATTCGTCCTATGTCTGCTTTGGAATCACATTCATATATACTCGTTGCGTTATCCTACAGCAATCTTACCTGACGAAATGAGCTGTCGTTAGCGTGCCGATTGGCTGCTGAGATGTGTGCCGCATAGCAACATCAAAGAGGGAGAAATCATCTTGAAACGGGGCGGACAAGATCTATTCAGGCAAAACACGGAAGCCATAGTACACGTTGGTATCATAATCCAGAAGGTATGTAAAATAGCGACGATATCAAATGTGCAGTTTCGTTCGGAAGTGACTAAGCTCATAACACTCCTCCTCCCTAGGGCAAGTATGGCCTATCTCTGCATTCTGGAAATCAATAACACAAAAAGTACCATCTTCGCGTCGAATGATATTACGAGGATAAAAATCCCCATGCATGATCCCATGTTTGTGGAGCGTCTCAAGGATTTCATATATCATGATACTAGTGCGGAATGGTGAGTTTTCAAGCTCGGCATAAGAAAAAGCACATACCATTCATCGTGTGTGAGAGGTTCAGCGTCTGACCAGAACTCCCCTTCAAGCGACTCTCCGGCAACTTCCAATATCAGAACTGGTTCGCCATCGTGAAGGAAATACCCATAAAAATGGGGAATGATTTGAGGGGAGACAGCGGAAAGTATACGATAACTGTAGACCTCGACATAGAACAATGATAGAGCAAGTTTGAGGCTTTAAGTGAACTTGAAAATTACAGCGTTGTGCGCAGGCCCAAAGACACCTTTCCAAGTGCTGGCGTAATTCCCCAGCTGGAGCGTTTCGTTCGCATTTCCTTCGAGGTTAGAATCAGAGCTACTTCTTGACGAATCGGAGGAACCACTCCATGAATGATTCATGAGCATCAGTGAGTTCTGGATGGCAGTGTAAGCGTGACAAAGCGTGACAAAGCGAGAGTGAAATACTCTCCTCTTCAGCGTCCTTCCCATCAACGCCCATTTCTGCTAGTCCAGGCATCGGCATCAACTGAATGTCTAATTTCCCAGTCCATTTTGATGGGTTGCAAGCTTGGATCGGATTGACAAGTATAGGATATTTAGGAGTTGGTATTCTTGTATTGGGAAGCAATAGAAAAACAAGTATAGCAAGAAAAGGGATGTTGCCACCTGAGATATGCAGAGTTGTTTGTAAAATGTGAAGGCGAGGGACATGGGACGATTCCATAAGCTTTGGACACAATTGCTGCCCTGTGTTCCTTCTGCGGATCGCCGAGAGTAACTGTGACGAGATGAGTGAGTGCTAGCCCAGGACAGGGGCTGTGATTCAGAACACACCGTATTCCACGAATACCACTCGAAAGGCGTCCACAATAATACCGACCTCTGATGGAGGATTATGTTGAACTTGTAGGTCAAGCTTAATTTGTGTGAGTGATTGCCGAAAAGAAAGGAGTTGTAGCGACGTACCTTGACGAGGGTGGCTCGGCCGTTTTCTTGTCTTTCAGGTGTATATTCATGTGGTTGAACAAGATCTGCACAATAGCTAGCGAGTACACTTGGTTTTTCGACTTGAATGCCGACGCCCTTTGACGGCTCCTCTTGGTTGATTTCGAAACTTGTGAGATTTTGGTCTCCTTGTTTTGAGATTCGTAAAGACGGCTGCACAGAACGTAAACGGATGTCTAGGACATCAAGGATAATTCCGGCAGCTCCAAGCCACTGAGCCAGCATCATTGTCGCATCTCCCTCGCCTGTGATGATGACCGCTCTTGAAATGGTGAACTCGAGGTGTCGTAGAATTGCGGCAACATCTGAAGGCAAAGGATCGTCTAAGATCCCGCGACGAACCAGTTCCTCTTCGAACGCCTCGACTACACGGGAGGAAAAATCTTTTTCAGACAAGTCGGGACTACTTTGGCGTAAGAGTTTAGAAGCGTTTGGAGCGTGGCACGCCGAGAATGTATCCGGAGCAGTAGATGCTTTTTCGTTGGGTATTTTCCCCAGTTGAGGACAGCAGGAAGGAGAGAAATGGAGGAAGTCTTTCCAGGTTAAAGTTTGCATGACCGAAGGTAAGCGATGGTTGTGATTAGAGGGATTCGTTATGTACTCCTATCCGTACTTGCTAACGTTTGAAACAAGCACGCGCATCAAGCTCTTAGCGCCCGTGACTTCGTCCTCTCCAAAGCAGGCACATCTCAAGTAATTTTCCCACCTCGACGTTCAACCTTCATATCCACAGGACTTTTTGTCATAAGCCTTAGCAAGCTACGTCGGAAAGTCCCACAGGTTGCCAGTAATAAGTCAAGATTTGGTTTCAATCGGTACAAGTCACAGTGAATATCAGATACCCGGCTTCTGTGCGTAAGCAACAGTCCAACGCCAGAAGCATTGCGAAGGTACATCCCACTCTTTGTCCATTCCCTGCAACACGAGATCAAATTCACCCTCCGACTCGAATAACCCAGCGGCAAGCAAGCTTTGTTTCACTGCTGCTACATAGCCTATGATTATCTTCTTGTGGCCCGTGTGTTCAGAATCCAAGTCCTGGGAATCCTGCCTAGGAAGACCAATAGTTCGTTTTTGCACATTGACAAAACCCGCGTCTTCTAGACGTTGGTCGATAGTATCGTGGAGATCTGACACAAATCCTTTTTGGCATACAGCAAGCCAAGTGCTTCCACCATGCGCTTCATGTTTGGACCACTGGACGCTGTAGTCTCAGCATTGGTCTCCAAAAGTTGAACCCACCCTCCCGGCTTCAGGACGCGATACAGTTCGCCCAGTGCTATTCCCCATTGCTCAGATGTGAGTGCAGCGGTGAGCAGTCGTTGGTTCGCCACTTTGAACCTATCACTCCAGGAGTCTGGAAGATCCGTGACAGAGTGCACAGCGAAGGTAACATTAGGCGGATGTTGGGTAGGGAGAAGGCGTTGATTAATATCAATACCAACAAGAGAGACGTTCGGGTGAACCTCGCGGGCAACGTCGAGTAGCCAAATACCTTCTAGTAGATAAGTTACGTTTGGAAATCCAAGACGACATCTACAGACCAGTCCCAGCTGCACTATCGAGTACCTCGTCTCCGGGGTCAAGTGCTGTCGGGACATAGATGAGTTTTCCTTCGAATGCAATTCTGGTCATATATCGATTCTGCCAGTCGAGCCTATTAAGCAAGGAAAAGATATCAACTTCGAACTTTGAACTTTCTTTAGAAACGCATACCTTTCTCGGTCATCTTCTGTAGAAGGCAAGACGTAGTGGGATACAAAAGGAGTATGTAGTGGGTTTCCAGCCATCCCAGTAGACTTTGGCGGGGTGCTACGTATCGAGAAGAGAAGCAGAATTGATGAGCGGGAAGATAGCGTGCGTGTCATGCTGCGATGTGCTTTTTAAGTATTTTTGCCTTACACGCTCATCCTATGCCGTGTGTTCCGGTAGTCCTCACTCGTGAAACTAATTTCCTCCAGCAAGACCTCAGCTGCCAGCAAAATGTGGGCTAGTAATATATACCTCGAGCTCTACCGTAATGATAGCTTCCCTCCAAACCTCTGTCTCGCAACATTATCCA